AGACAAGAAATTCAAGTGACGTTTGTGTGTCTATACTTGATATATACACAGCGAGCTTATGAAGTTTTTGAGATTTATAAATAATTAATTCTAACGATTATTACACTTCTAAGAATTATTACTAGTTACTGTTGAAATGAGTATTAGATTAACTTGTACAGTGATGTTATTAATTTATGTAATGCACATCGACGAATCAAACTATTAAACGTTAATTTAATTCGCTATGGGAATAGACGGAATGAAATTAATTTTGATGTAATGTTGCCATAACATTTTACAGCCATAATTGGATGGAGAAAATTATTATACATGCCGTTTAGTAATATACATTTAGACATCCATAAATTGATTATGCGGACTAACGTCATTCATTATTGCACGAATACCATAAATTAAAACTTTGTTTCAACTTATTACCGTCATAATTCTCATCCCAGTTGTTTCGCGCACAAGCAAATTCCGAATTCTAATTAAGACTCGGAAGATGGAGTACCCTCCTATTCCTTAGTGACAATTAACGCGGCATAAACTTACAAAAACACTCAGAACTAGACCAGAATTTAATGTTATAAGCTCGCACTAACATTAAGACACGTAGCATGTAGGCAACAGACACAAGCAACGTACGCTGTTAGGTTCCAAACATTCTGCTTGAAGTATAGAGTTTACGAAATTCAGGAAAGTCAAACCTAAGAAAATAATTAAGGCAAATTTTAATCCTACAAATTACTATAACAAAATGACATTCACTGTAAAAATGTACTCGTTAGATCAATTATGAAATAACTACCAATTTATCCTAAACGCGACAGGGAATGCTCGCCGTACATAAATAAATAATCTGTCTTATTATTCATATTTCAGCTGCGTACGAAATTACGATAAACAAATACGTTAGCGGTTTAATTAGTAGACATGAGAAACCAGTTTGAAGCGCAATTACTTCTAAGTATTTACTCCAACAACGTTGCATCGCGCCCTACCGTAATTACTCAAAGGTTATCGCCCGTTTCATTAAATTCAACTCGAACCGGAAGCCAACGGTTCAAGGTTATTCAGAGAGCAATCAGAAACTTCGCGGCAGGAAACTACGCGAAGGATATTGCTCTACGTACTTGGTGGTCGAACCCCCGAACTACTGATATGGGAACTTTTCAATTAAAATGCAAATTTTCACCTCGTCGAGATTCCACGATTCGCTCTAGGGGATTATATCTCCATCCGACTACCGAATCGCTGACATTTTTGATTGATTCGTTTAGTGTTTAGTACGATAAGAAAAATTATATCATCCAACGATAAAAATTTTATTAATCTCGAAATTCATAAGGTCGTGTGTAACTAGTTTGATTTAATTTAATTCATATTCTTTGATACTGTTAATGCGTATTTCGGTTCATATACCTCTCATTCCCAGTTTCATTTTGTAGTTATCATCTTTCCAACTAAAATTTATGAAAACTGAATTAAATTCTGTGATAAAAAGAGACCGCACGTGTCCCGCACAGAGCCAGAAATTTATCCGCCCCCGTAATCGAAACGGGGGTGAAAAACGGGTCAGAAAAAAACAGGATGAAATCGAATCGAGCGACAGCGGCATATCGGATAACACCGCGCTGCGCCGCGCCGCCGTGGGCGTATTGTTTCGCTTCGACGGCAAACGAAACGTGCAGAGAGGCGCTTCCATCGTAACAAAGGAAAGCTACGAAACAAGTCTCAGTTGATAGTTGCGGTTGACAGTGTGCAAGAGCTCGGAAAATTATATTTCGGTTGCGTTCTAACTTTCTTCATTGCCCTTTTATTCGAAGCGATCTACACGATTTATAATAGTTAATAAAACTAGAAAGATTGCGAATGTTAATCAGGAATTGAATCTCTAAATGTTTCACGCAATTTACTCTCGAAATTCTTACGTCACATCCTTGAGAACGAATTACATATCCACAAAAGATGAACAACGAACTGTGTCTAAAAATGCATACACTGTCTGGAACAGTTATAGTAAAATTTTCTATAGAAGTCCGGGAGTACAATAACTTCCGTTGGGGAAATTACGGTATTCTTTCTTCCGGCGAAAGGGGGTTGAATTTCAAAGCGAATGACATGATGCAGCACCTACATTTTCCACACATCCTATCAGGCTTTCTACGTTTTTGCGAACAAGATAGGTGGTATACGAGTACACGCAAAAATTTGAAATTCCCCCACTACTAACCGCCGCGGGCACATTAGCGAATAGATGGAAGCGCACTGTGCACGTGCACGGCCCCCGAAGCTTCGCTAGAACCGAACGAAACAATCGCGTATTGTGCCATGCCATGAGAACGGGATATACATGTATAGAGAATAGAGGACACGGTGTGTGCAACATTGCTGCTCGATTTACTTTGAATTTATAGCTGTCGCGTTAATACTTGCTATCGCACCACAACGCGATACCTCAATTACGTTCGGCAAGCAGCAAAGAACCAACAACCAACCGGATTTTCCTTTGATAGTCCTATTTATGCAGTCTCCAATGGTTACATTAATTGCATAGTCTCACCGAGCGTCTGTGTAATTTCTAACAAGTATAGTAATAGATGTAGATAACAGTGCTGGATTCCAGGTTTGGAATTAAGTTGAAACTTCAGGGCTTTACTAAGCCAGCATACAGTGGCTTTACATGTAAGTACATACTTCGGAAACTGCTCGCCAGTACAATTTCGGTGATGCTTATAACTATTTGATACGAGTAATCGAGGTCTAATAGTCAAAATAGGGTAAAAATGAGAACACTAGGAATTGGATGAGTAATTAGGGATAAAGGTCATGAGTAAAATTGCGCCTACACTCTGTAACATTGTTACATAACAAATTTGTTTCAAATTTTGTTATCTATTAGTTTCATTATTTTCAAGACTCCAAAAATTGGTTCATCTACAAATATAAATGTAGCGAAACGTCATTAATTTAATTAAACGAGCTACGGATCTCTGACATTTGAAACCAATTTACTATCGCTTTTAAGGAAATGCGATGGAAAATAAAGAACCTACTACCGGGAAAATTCCGCTCTACATATATCGAACCTTGTAAAATACAAACAAAAAATATAACAGATGGGAGTGGGGAGGTTCGTTCTGTGCAATGTAAAATGAATACTGGTACTTCGTTTGAAGGGTTGCATTCAACAGGAATATTTAAACTGCATACAGACCAATAATTTTTTTTCCGACGCTTGCTTAATTAAAATTCCATCGACGTTTCACGAGTACACCGTCCACCACACTTTACAATTCGATGTTACAAAGTCGATTTAAACGGAAATCTCTGATCGTCGCCATCGCGTTGCAGAAAATTCAAAGGAGTGTTTTAAAACGGCAAAAGGGTAATAGAGAGGCGGGCTTACAGAGGGCAGGCCGATTTTGCATTTGAATCTCGCCTTACAGCCAGTGAGTATCCTTTTTTTATACTTTTTATACTCCCTTTGTTTTCCTTGCTGCTTTGTTCCACGGGCTTCCGTTTCGCACTCGTTGCGAAGCAATCCTCTTTATTTTCCGAGTTTACCAAACAAAAAACGATTCTCCGTTTCGGTAATCGGTATTTCGGTACATATTATCCGATAGCTTTGAAACATTCGCCGTTAGGCTTCTGCTCGAATGCGTACGAAAATATCAGCCTTCGTTTCTGAAACTCTATCATTTGGATTTAACTCTTAACTCGGCGAATTCGCAAACCAGCAAGAACTTGTTATTAAACTCCTTAATGACCATTCATCAAGGAAACTAGCACTACTTAAACTCGCACATCCGACGTACCACCAAACGAGATCACCATGGAATCGAGTTCAAACGTTTCTACAGATCCTACCCACTTTGTCATCCCTTTCAAATCGACCGTCCCAGCCCCGTTTCGCGTCTAATTTCGTATTCGAGGGTTCATTTACTGCGTTGAATGCCCGTACAAGTACCATTCGAGTTGTCGTTTAGCCTGTTCAAGTATTTCCCTCGAAGCAGGCCAGTCTCCGCTCTCTCTCTCTCTCTCTCTCTCTCTCTCTTCTTTCTTTTTTTCTCTTTGTCTCTCCATTATCCCAACCCTTTGTGCCTGATAACAACGTGACATGGAATCGTTGCTGTATAATGTACATAGAAACATTCACGCACAACTGCCACATGTATCCATAAGACAACTTGTAACTCCAACTTCGTGTCAAACGTTGTTTTAAAATGAAAATAAAACATTTTGAAAATATTCTGAGAATATAAACGGATAAAATAGGAAAGGAAAAACTTTATCCAATATAACCACATGTTAAATTTTTATATAAGTAAAACTTGATATGATTCTATGTAAAAACAATGATATGTACTATACTTATAATATTCTGTATATTCTTGCACATTATATACATTGTTTATAGTTTATACACAATCAATTTATCTTTATAAGTATAAAATCCGTGGTTTAATTACGTTCCTTTCAGTTATTCAACAGAGCAAACATTCATAGATCAGTGAAGGCACTGACTAAAATCTCGCAAAACTCAACAAAGCTTCTGATTAAGATTTCGAAGGTCTAGGAAAGAGAACAGCTCTTGACGTTGATACAATGATCGCATACACGCGAATAGACGTTACCGTTCTACTTTGACTCCCTTTGGTCCTTATTCAACTGGAAAATTGCTCGGTGAAATATTCACACAGCGATTAACCGACGTGATGGTTAAGCCATCCAACTTCGAGGACCAGAGCATACCTATTTTACCGCGTTAAAGAGACTTGGTTTATCTGACTTCTCAGATTGGCGTACGTTTTAAGGCAGATATATGATCATCAACATGCTATGAGGTCATTCTCATGTATGTTTGTAATAAAAATTCCCTTGGAGCTGTAGCATCTAATAAATAAACTGCGGATTGCAGGGATTTTATAAAGATTATAAATATATTGCATACAAATGTGAAACGCGAAGAACTTTCCACTAATTCATTATTCGCAATCAGATTGTCAACAAAATAATACAATGTATCTATAGCTACCAAAAACGAAAAGAAAATAATGTGCGTAAGAAACACCACTACTGTACTATCAGGTTGGTGCAAAACTTATTCCAATTTTTGAATACAGTATAATAATTGGTACGTATACTGCGGATTTTTATGCAAAATAACGTTTAATTTTCTTATAAATACATTCAATCATCAGTCTAGTAATTGCGCTTAAGACTGCAATTATTTTTCCATCGAACTACTGTTCCTTAATTAAATTTCCAATTATCATTAAACGTCTACTTCGACAAACAAAGTTCACTCAAGTGAAAGAAAGGCTATCTGAATTCCGATGCATTCATTAACAAGTAAAAAGCCTGCTCGCTAGCTTGCGTCCTATTCTATTTCGAGAACGAACGGGAAACTTCTGAATTGGCCTGCAGCAACCACTTAGAATATGCTGACCGTGGATAATTAGAAGTTTAATCCTGTTCCACGGAGAGGAATTCTTATTTTTTCTGAAACGATCCAGGCGAATAGTAAACAAAAACCTTTACGCGAGCATTCCATAAGAAAGAAACTGAGGCAAAGAACGCTTCTATAGATACGGCAATCTTTATTTCGAAGTTTTTGGACGAATGGAGTTAGTTGGTTATAACTTGAAGAATACTTAAAATATCTTATAAAATAGCGCATTCGCGTTCGATTCTTCTTCTTCTTTTTAATTAAGCTTCTTATAAACTTTCCACGTGCCGAGGTAAAAATTAAACAGATAGCGAACCAGGCAACTGGAAGCCGCACAAATCCTGCGCATTCCTACGCGATCGACGTTGCACAAATCTGTAACTGACCGAATTGCTCTCTTTCCGTTCAAAATAAAATAGGAAAAAGAAGCAAAAATAAGTCTTCAGTGTACCGTTTAAGTGAGAACAATAAAATATCTTATACGTGATCGAAATTATCCAAAATATGTTTCAATGTTCATTTGGTATAAAAGGGCACATTATTTGGCACAAATGTAAATTAATACTTTTGTAAGCACAGTACGCTATAATTATATCTCATATGTAATACTAAAAAAACGAAACAAGCAATATATTACTTTGCCTGAATAACAGGATTGGAAAAATGTGTACATAGAAATGCGTTACCAAAACAAACAAATACTATATCGCTATTCCGAAATTTCTATAAGGGAAAATTCGGATAGATATTTCGTTTTTCCCTGGACCTTTTCAGTATTTTTGCCCCCGTGGAATGGAGAGAGAAGTTATTTTGCATCGATTAACAATTTCAGCAGCAGAACATACTAGCTGCTGACCGAGTTCGGAGTTGAAAGCATTGTTACGGATTTAATATAAGTTAAGAAAGAAGTCTGGTTTGCTGGTGCTGCTACTCGAACGTCATACCTTCAGCAAAAGATACGGAACACTATCAACCGTAACGAGTGAGAACTTCTAAGACTTTATTCGAAAGATATCTTCATCGACGCTACGCGCATTGATATCCGCGCTTTTAATTATACACACTTTAAGCTTATTATTTGGTCATTGAAAAAATTATAATATAAAAAACTAAAAGAAGATGCAAAGAACAGTGGACGTCAACAATTTCATTGTCTGCGTGTCTCTATTTACCTCTGACAAATAAAACGTATAGTGATAATTGATGAGATTAAAAATAGGAAATCACGCTTCGCGAAGCAAAAAATTTCAAACACTTAAATCATGTGGGCGCTGTGACGTTATTTCTCTATTGGATTCCTGTTAATTTTCAACGATTATCTTTCTACAAGTAAACCTCTTTGTAGATATTTCCATGAGACTGAACCTTATCAAAGTCGAAGTTGGACGCCTACGATTGTGGCATTTTTTAAACCAAACGAGTTTACTCATTTTTCTAGTTTACTACGTAATATCTCATAACACAGACTAGATATACGAGTAAACCTATCTACCAGTGTGTTACAATTAATTGTTATAGCGACCACGTAATAAGCCTGGCAGGAAGGATTTTAAGAAAACGGTCATATCTCCAGTTCCATTCGACATATGAGGCTCTATACTTTAAAGTACGCGATATAATTAGGTAATATCATCAGTGCTACTTACCAAGTACTCCAAGACGAAAATTGATAGAAACGACGATCAGACGACCATAAGCAGCCAACGCTGTGCCATCAAAAGAATTCCCAGCCCCCCACGAATAGGAATCACCATGAATTAGAAGAAGAGCTGGTAAAGGTTCTGAGGTACTACCTAAAACACCAAATCATCATCTTCAACTATTTAAGAATAAGGTAGTAAATTATTAATTCATGACTTATAAGTACAATGAAATTGAATATTTATTTCATTGCATAAACGTGTATTCTTTTCTATTTTCCTTGCACGCTTTAATTTTCAGCGCATACGTAAAAGTTCTCGGTGTTGTTGACTAGATTGCGGATTTTTATGCAAACTAAAACTTGTATGCTACTTAATTAAAAAATGATATTTAAGTTGAAATTATATACTTTCCTCCTTTTCAAACTTCGTGCCATTCGGTAAACTATGTGTTTCTTTTTCTTGCGTATCGTTTCGTATAAATGCATAAAATCCGTAGTCTAGTAATGACTACATACATATTGTTAACTTTTTCGAAAAATATGGATTGTATGAAAAAATTCAATGTTCGTCGATATTCCTGGCATTGATATTTTCCCAGAATAAATCGTCTTTGTTATCGAAGTAACGAGAGAAAAATAGGAAATGTAATATTTCCCTCGTTTGATCTCGATTTCACAATTTTTTCCCACATCAATTCCATATTTTTACGTAAAATAAAAATAATATAACGAATTGTCTTTTCAGTTGATACCTTTCAATGAAACGAAATCTGGTTAATTTTCAGCGCCGGAACGTTGCATGTATGTACGTACATCGATATTATCGATTAAACCTTCGCGAGCTTTCATAACAGTAAAAATTTAATTGCGATACGAATTTAATCATAGCACTAATTAATTCGATTAATTAAATTTACTCGTTCGAATGGCGAATGAATTAAGAAATTTACACTGATGTACACAGTTCATTACTAACTGTAATGAAACACGATTGAAATACATATGTTTGCTCGTTAAGAGTTCAACCTGTATGTTATACTTTATATTATTATGTGTCGACGTAAATAACAAAGAAACAAGTACCTACGCTTCGAACGAGTTCTGCATGTCCAAGTTTTTAAAATGGTCATGCAAAATATTTTCGTACAGATTCAGGTGCTTTGTCCTTAATTTGAATGAAAATAGAGACTCATTAAATTATAATATTTTATTCAAGAGCGAAAAAGCTGGAACTCTAATATATAGGGTGTTCCAGAATGCACAACTTTCCTCTGAGTGAAATTTTAACAATGAATCAAAAGTTCCGCTTCCACTTTTTCCTAACCGCTATTAACGAAGTTATAAACGAAGAAAGTTGACTGTATTTTCAACCTAAAATGGGCAGTATAATACTTTTCCTAATATAGTTAAGAAATAATTTATTACTATAAGAAAAACATCATTTCTTAAACCAACAACGTTTTATTTGAAAAGTTTTCTTTTTAGACAGACAGAATCTTTGTTCACTGTTGTTAAAAGCATGCATCTTTCATACGATCCATTTTTCACGAGAGGTAATAATATCGAATGTAAATTGAGCTTGATAGTTCCAAGTGATTCATTTTGTCCATTCTTCAAAGTGTAAAGAATACCTTCGTATCTTAAACCAAACCTCCGCCATGAAATATCCAAACTTTTTTTACTCGAATTAAACAAAGGAGATAAAAGACACTAATACGTTTATTCAACTATTTTACCACTAACTTAGTTAACGTGTGGGTTCTCATATTAATGTTCCCTAAGAATATACTATACGTGTCATGTGTATAACTATGTATACCTAATATAAAACGTTCTGTAATTTAACGCAAATTTCACATTGCGACGAGAGAAAAAAGGAATAAACATTTGTAGATTAAGTCATGCCATAATGTTCCGACAATATGCACCCACCCTATCGCAACACCGTTCGCGTGTGCTAGAAACCGAAATTCAACCCCCACACTGGAGCAGATCAATATTTGATGCGCGTTACAAATGGTTCCTCGATATCGGTCCCCTTTCATGCGAAAACAAGCAGTAAAAAAAGCTCATAAAGAGAAGCGACAGAAGAGTCCTTTTTGTAACTACGATTAGGGAAACGATCGACTTCCATGCTCAAAGCTTACTCACTTTACAAACGGGTCCCTTGCTCGATCAGAGTTTCGAGAAACTACACTTTTTGTCGTTTAAACGATTGTCGGCGAATTCGAAATTTTTCTCGATGAGGGTAAATAATCTAACATTTTCGTCGTTTGTATCGATTCGGTATTATAAACATCGATACTTCGAAAATTCTGCGATAAATGCAACATCTCGATTTGATGTAAAGACACGAACAATATCTTGTCGTTACGCCGGCTAAAAGTATATTTAAATTTATATACATATAAACAATAGCATTTCGCAAATAAGGACACCATTTTCACAGAGGTAGCTGCCCCAATAATAGAAATGCAAGTATACCCGGTCTTACCTAAAACACTCGGTTTTGCCCTAATCTCTTCTAGCGTGAAAGTTATTGGGAGAATGTCATAAATTATTATTCTTTAATTCTAATTTAATCTATCAAATGAAGTTTTATATACCGAAAATAAAAATTTGTTCGTTACATTATAACACAGGTTGTAATTTTTTGAACAATTTAGTTGGACGTCGTATCGATTTGCGACTTCCGCGAGAGTTTCGAGCTTACACTTACAGTATAAGTTCCGGATATAAAAAGTTAAATCGGTTTAAAGTCTTGAAGTAGTTGTAGGTTTTTTGAAATTGATCGATCAAGAACTTCATAAAAGATTGACAGTGATTTCAAAACTTGTTAAGACATGGTGTATGTACACTAAACATGGATCATAATATAAAAAGCAAATATTTTCACGTCTATCTCGGCTAAAAATTTCTTAGATTACATACGTTTCTATAATTATTTGCGAAATATTTTTGTCACAGCGAATGCTACTTATCGTAAAATACAAATAATTGATACAACGTGTCTGACACTTTAACATACAGACCGACTTCCAATAATCTTTTTACACTGTCCATTTATAAATTGGATGAACCGGGTAATATTTGGTTGCTTGTGATCCGTTACAGGAACTGGAGAGAAACTCTGTACGTTATTCGCAGCTGCACCTGAGTGCTCTTAAGTTAATTGCTCGACTGTATTTTCCAAATTAAAGTTGTTGCTGCACTTCTACCACAAGCTGTTATTAAGAATTCTACACGAAATTACCGTGTGACAAATTATTTGTACTGCCTCTTTCCACGCTATGTGCTTATTTCTTAGCTTTACTTCAACTGCTCGTCTCATGTTCTCGCAGCATATGAATTAAGCCGACCCAGTCTTTTTTTCCGGTTCTCAATTTCATACAACCGTGTACAGAAATTTTACGAATAATTACGTTTCGCCACACCACGATTCAATTGATGATCACGAATGGTCAGACTTACCAGTACATTAGTTGCATGACGCAGGCATATGCGTGTTGGCTATAGGACAATGATATACATATATGTAAGCGTAGTATCGTGTGAATACCAATACTCATTGCTATTGATGAATATCGATTCCCACGTCCATCTTGTTCGCTTGTTGAATAGTGTTGCCTAACAATCCTACTCAAAAGCGTTTGTGCTTTAGGAACAATCAGAATGGCGAATTCATCGATCTTCTGCAGTAGAGTACTAACAACTTAAAATAACATTTTCATATCTATTTCAACCAAAAGTGTTGCAAGTCAATTAAAGCAACTTCTGAGATTGATATTGACTTAACATAATTTACCAGCTACCGAAGAAAACATGAAAAATGGAAATGACCTTTGGATGCTTCGCGGAATAGTTCTAACAAAAGTTCTGATAATTTAACATCTGCGAATCTCAATATTTTGAATAGTATTTTAAACAATATTTTAGGCGCCGAAGCCACTCAGAGTTTGGTCATTTTGGTCATCCTTTACAAAGGCATCAAAGTTTAATTTTCCAAAATGCCTGGCTGCTCGGAGGCGAACGTAAGTGGCGGAGATAATTGAACAGACGGCCTCGCGTTACATTATTACTCAACGGGGTAGGTTATTCTCCGGAGGGACACATCGGCACGTTCGCAATTCATGAAATCACATAATCGTCCGCGAACGAGCCACAACGGTGCCGCGGCACTGGTAAGCGCGATGGCAGACGAGACGAGACGTCCACCTGTTGCGAACACTGACACGAGATCACACTATCATGCCAGGACGGACAGATAGGTGACTAGGCCACTATCTTCGCGCGTCTCTCGCTCCTTCATCCGGCAAACCAGAGATCGTATCTGGGACAGATTTACGGGTGATCCGTTATTTTGCGTTACAACCTCTGATGTCTGGACCACTGTACCCTTCCTTTATCGTAGTTTGGAACCATCTGATCGCAGATTATCCTTACAGCTGTGTTTGCAAGTCAAAGCGGTATCAGTTGGACTATTCTATCAGTATTCGCATCTACCGCTTAAATACGATTTTTATCTAAACAAGTCACGGATTTTTTAAGTAGAGATCGATTCTAACTCGATTTGAACGTGAAATCTCAGTTATGCAAAAGGATGACAAAGAGTAATTACAATTATATCATAAAATGGACATTTAAGGTTCACTAAATGAGCAAAAATCGCGTTCAGGGAGATCTCGAATCGTCTTGAGATTTTAACGGGAGATTCTTGAAATCCTTACTAGAAGAAGAACCGCCGAGCCGCTTGAATTTAAAAATATCCCGAAGGAGTCGGCTCGGAGAAAACGTAAATCATCTCGGTTTCCCTTAATTACCTTTGATGGTATTATGCGGGAAAAAACGAGCCAAAAGAAGAGAATGGAAAGAAGAAAAGAACGAAGAGCGAAAGGCCTTTCTAAGGAGAATTAATTCACTCGATCTCCGATCCTTCTATGCGCGTCCATTCGATTCTGCCGAGCTGCGTGCTTTCAAGAGTGAATGAATCTTTAGCTAATGTGACGGTATGGCCAATGAAAATAAAGAATTGCTTTTCCAAACAAAGATTTTTCTTTCTCTCTCGAGTAATTTTCCATTGCACAGTAAGAATAAAGTATAAGAAATTCGGTTATATGATAATAATTTAAAAAATATCTTAATAACATAATCTGTAAATAAAACGTCCCACTGAAAATTAAATCAAAGTGGCGTACATTATGGTTCGATGCAATATGACCCTTGCATTAAAAATACTAAAAGGTCTCTAATGATATTACACGGTCATTAAATATTTGTTACGTTAAAACATGCAATGTAGCCAAAGTTTTATCCTACTAACGTTACCTGAAAGTTTATTGGATATAAATACTTCGTAAAATCGATGTCAATAAACACTTTTCACAACAAAATACAAGCTAAATACAAAATTAATTATCCGCAGGCCATTCTCACTCCATACACTCTATTATAATAGAATTAGGTACTATCTAGGTAAATAGATGACTCTCATGCCGCCACAACTGATGAACCATTCAAAATTCATTTAAAAAAAAAGTATACATAAAGCATAAATGCAATCTTTACAAAACTTAATTGTAGTGAAATAGCTTCGAAGCTCTACTTTTCTTGAAGATGCTGTTGACGGTCCATCGTTGACAATGGAAGCAATCGTCGATCAGACGCGAGGCCACCTCACTCCCGCGGTGCTTGCAGCTTCTCTCTCGTTAATCGAATACTCGTCTGCAATGCACAACGGAATTGAAGAAGCAACGCGATTACAACACGTATCCTCCGCGCAGCGCGAAGCAGGAATACCATCCTTCGACCGTCTTCCTCTTCCGCTCCTTTCGGTTCCCCTTATTCTGTTTAGCGTCTCTTTTTCCGCGTCCATGACCTCCGGCATTTTTCCTCGGTGACGTTCAATGCCGTTACACAAATGGAGAGGAGAGAGGGCAGTAGCAATTTTCACCGTTTTCCAGATAAGCTCGACCTCTCATCCGCTTTCATTCTTTTTCCGTTCTTCGCTCCCTTTGACGTCGCCGGAGCGATATACTCCCTTTGCACGAGAGGATATGTATGCGTTGTCGCGGCGAGATTACACGCGGCACGGAAAGGGAAGTATAGTCAAATAGCGCGAGTTGTTAAGCACCAAAGTTACCGAAACGAGAATTTTACGCCAGCGAATTTGACACGCATATTTGCGGAAGGAAAATCCGGGAAACGGCGGCGGTACCGACTGAACTCAAATGAAAGTGTATACACAAGCTGAACACTAAGAACATCAAAACTTCGTCTGATTTCATCCACTTAAGTTAGATCCCTATGAAGGAAGTCTTACAAGATGATATTTCTATAACAAGAACGTGTGTAGATAAGTATGGTTTTATTACTATTACGACAAATACTGAAATTAATTAAGACGTTTCGTCGCTTTGGATACATATGTACACACGGTTCCATTTATTTCAATTCATCGTGGAAGAGATTTCATACTAAAAGTCTTTATAATATTGTACAGTATATTAATTGACTTTACTATTCAGTTAACTTCATCTACAAAGTAGACAATGGAAGAAAGTACAGAGTTTGTCTTTAATATAACGAGCACAACGTGTAAAAATGATCGAAGTTTAAAGAACGACAAGAGTCACGAACGTTGTTTCTCCATATTTCACATTACGTGGCAGTGAATTCTCATTGCAGAAATGATATTAAGGAAGTCTGAAAAGAGCTTTCAGTTCATAATGAAACTGCAGGAACGTTGAAAATGTTTCTTTAGAAAAGAAATTAGGACAAAAGTAATCTCGTTGAGTAACAACTTGAAATAAACGCTTGAAAGCGTAAAAAACTGAATATTTCTAAATGTACAAATCCAAGAAAATTCAAAGATTATAAAATTGTGGTAAAACTTACGTATAGTAGAGGAGTTTAGATAGAAAATATGTTATCATGGACATCATTCAGGCTACCTATGCTACAATGTTAATAACTTTTTAATAAGAAACAAGCGATGGTTGAAACCTTTTGAGAGCACTATTGATAACACATTTCAACCTGAACTAGACGTAAGTTTTACCAATGCGCATTACTTTCGCCATCATTCCGGACAATTGTGCATAAACTTACGTGCTGCAAGTCACAAGATACATAAATCATCATTCAATCATGTCACATACATAATTATCGTGGTAGCATTTAACATCATTACTACCGATATTTCTAAAACCCTAGCCGTAATCCGATTATTTTTACCGCGTCTTGCGCGCTCATCTGTACCGACTTTTCTAATTCAAGCGTTCAACGTCACAACGTCGACTTCGTTAATTTACTAAAATTTCAGACGTTCCCGTTTTTTTCCCGTGTCATGTTAAGCGCGTAAACCTCCGCCGTTCAGCTTTCACAGTTGCTCTCGCATTAACGTCTCACCGGGTTAATTCCCCGTACTAGTAAAAAAAAGTGCACCATGTTTCGAGCACGGTCTGCACAAAGCGTTATCACTTTTAATTACTCGTTTTTAGCCAACTCGCCACGATAACGCAGCCCTTTAGCCGGACGTCCGCAAAATATATTCTGTCCATCCCCGGCGAACGGTTCAAACGCTTTGAAGCATCCTGCTGACAACGGTGGATCTTTCAACGTTAAAGTGGAACGAGTCATGATCGCACGTTGCCAAGAGATAACGCTAACAGCAGTCCATACCGTCAGGCTTTTTTCTGAATTTTTAGTCGAAGTACCTTCCGTTCTAAATTTAGAACAATTCAAAGTTTCTCCAATGCGTTAATTTTATTCCTATTCACGACAACACAAGCAACCCAAGCTTTGAGCTAGTCGAGAAAATTTGTACCAGCAGGAAATGACGTGCGCGTCGTGAAAGCTGTTAACGCTGCAGCTACAGCTTGCCACCCGCGTGGCTTTGAATGCGATCTATTATGTGGTCTTACCCCGAGAGTGCCTTCTAGAATCCGACATTATCTCTTGCGGCCCTCTCGAATATGAAGCCGGTTCATGGCAGACTGATTTCATGAATCATAACACTGAATTAACCCTTTCAGTTTGACCCATTCACGATTTAACAGCCGCCGACACTTCAGACGCAGGCAATATTGGAACGGGACCAACAGCGAAAATAGAACATCACGAGAATCGGCACCATCGACTATAACGATTGACGAAATTATGGTTGCAGAATGGCGCCTTCTTCTCGAGCGAATCAGATCTTTTGAACGCTTTTATTTTGAATATCATACTCTGTGATTCATAATTCAGGAAATTTTGTATATCCGATATGAACTCAATCTAAAAAGTTCCCAATTTATTTCTCGTCGCACCAGTATTAATATTTCTCGTCTCGCTCTAAATGTAATTTATTCCGCGATAACTATCCAACCAAAGTTTCCATCGTCATTACTTTAAACTTCCCGAGATTCGGGTAATGTAATTTCCACCGAAAATACATAAATCCCAGTCGTTTTTGATATAGTAAACAGTTTTAAGTCAGACTCGGTGACGTGACCCAAAACTTTCCTGATTATCGCGGCAATTGACAAGAGCACCAATTAGATTCGCCAGAAACAAATATTCATACCCGCCAGAAACGAGACGCTCGACGGAGGCATAATAATACAGAACAGCGCGAAAACTTGATCCTCCAATGACCGAAACTTTGCGACTAACTTCGAAACTGTAACTGTTCTACGCTTCGTGATACCGAACGACGCCCAAAGGATTAAGCGAGCTTAAGCAAGACAATGTTCATGACAATTGTCACGACTATCTATGCCTATTCGCAATGGATTCACAATGATTTGACGACAGTACGAGTTCATCGTTGGGATAAATATCGTAATGGATAGTCACGTTACTGCGTCGAATAGTATAACTTTATCTTGTTAGAAATTCCTTAATTACGAAACTTTCGGAACAAATTTCAGAAGTTTGAGCCTTCCATAGTGTTTAATCTGAAATATGATCATATTGTTTATTTTCCGCGTTTTATCTTCCGATTATTATCCGCGTTATGTATCACAGCATTATAGCCAGTTGACGTTATATACATATAAATATATTATTACCGTAACATTTCCACCAATCTTTACCTTGAGAAATTGACGAAGAAATGACGATAGTGAAAGAAAAATAGGAAGGTGAAAGATATCGCGCTCACGATATATTCCTCTATAACGGTACACGATGATAGACGGTTATGGTTCCAGGATATCATTTTAAACTTGCCATTCGTGATAAAAGATTGTCAGAATTTACGTTATAGGACATTGCCATCAAAAAAGTGAGATCGTAGAAATATTAAGTAAATAAAATCTCATATTATGTACCATTAAGACATCTGAAATTATAGTCACATGGACGAGTAAGTTAACGTTAATGTCGAGAGTAAACGTGGAGTAACGTGGTAATAAATTAACGATGCTTCAACGCCAACGGGTCTACCTCACACGCCGAAATCCTCTTTGCCTAATTCCATGAAGCACGATCCATGAGTCCAATTCATGAGAATAATTTAATTAGAACGTTCAATTAGAACACGTCAGCAACTCGAAATTGCCGAGTCACTCAAACTCGGCTAGCCCATTCCTTATTTTTCATCTCGCTTTTACGTTTCGCAGAGCATGAGAACAAGCGTGTGTACGTTTAGAAGCGAAGACACCGGTTGGTGTACCGACAAAGAAAATTAGATTTCCATCAGACTGTCGGTCAGTAGAAACGAAAGTATTTAGATTAACTATAACGAAATATTAAATTTTAGAAAACATCTTGAACAGAACTTTCATGTTTAAAACCGATTACAAACCATGTGATTTTCGAGTTCAATTTGCATGCGTTGTAACCGCGAACGACCGCGTCGGATATGCACGACATATTACGCGTGACTGATTTTCATGAGACATTGAATATCTCATCCGACAAAAACGATTAACACATTACAACAGGGCCGCGGAGAATTATATAATCCCCAACATTAGCGATAATGCGTTCGACCATGTCGATTAACGCCCTTGCACATGCTTTTCAGCTCATTACCGCAACTTCTGCGAATCATTATGAACCCGCACCAGACTCAAGGGTACGTGTAAACGTATTGAATATGAAGCGATATTGAAAGCTCCTACTGAACGTATTCAACTACTAGCAATGATCAGCAGATACGTGGACCATCAGAAATTGTATTCACAATTCGCAACCTAATTGTTTATCTCATTAATAGAATAAAATTATCATTAAAGGATTAAAATAGTCACGTGACTCTTCTAACATTCGAAAAAATTTGAAAAATCAAGACATAGAATCGAATAGCGTTAATCCATATTTTTGGTCAATTTAGTGGGTAACTTCGACATTCTGCCTTAATGCGCCACTATCGCAGTCTAGCCTCTTAACAATTATTCCTAATGATCCAAAACAAATTAATGACTATTGCCAATAAAAAGCACCGACTTTCCGCTTTCCTGCGAAGGTGATTCCTTCCCGTAATTACAACATAATTGGGAATGAGAAAGCCTGGACGTGCATCGCAATTCGCTCGTAGCACGTTAATTGACGTCATTAAATTGCGGCTGTAAACCCATTTAGGAGGGCGTCACGCTTCGGACGGGGCAAGAAAAAGGATCTCATGGGCGTTAAGTCAAACACGTTTCGTCCGGGAATCTCATTTAAATATCCTGTCTGGGTCCGCCCGACATTCAAGCGGAACGGGAAAAAAGAGAGGGCGAGAGAGAAACTCCCACCGGTCGCGGAAGTATGACGCCCGTTTTGCTTTTTCTCTCGTTTTTTTCCTCTGTACAGGTGACTGGTTTTCTCCAGGCTATATCGAAGAAACGGGACGCAGAATGACTAAGCTTCTTACGTGTAGACGACCCGAAGCTTGCACAACGGCACTCGTTTCGAAACGCGACGCGCACCCATGCGGACTTAAGACGACGAGGCTGGAATATCGCGCGGAAAAAGCCGGCCTTGCTCCACGGAACAGAATCCAGCCAGGATAAAGCATACTCTCTCCGCTTATCTACTTTGCGTAAACGAATTCCGGCCGAACAAGAATCTTGTTTACGCTAATGCTGCTGTAGATACGGCGGACTCGGACTCGTTTGGTCGATTCGAGATCTTGAAGCTGCCAAACGTACAATTTTGTTGGTGCTACCCGAGTAATCTCTTTGAAAAGTAATTTTAATATTTGGTGTTTGCCTCTGTTTTTGAAATAATATTATGCTTTCGCTAGCTTCTTTGCTAAGTCGTTTTTCAAGCCTTTCCAATTTAACTTATAATATAAGCATGGATCGTCGATGTCCGAACAAAATTTTATTTATGTGAAAAAATTGTTTACATTTTGTTTCCTTAAATATTTTTATTTCTCTACAAAATAGAAGGTTGGTTTACATTTTCCCAATTTTTTACCTTTACACAGTAAGAGGTAACTAATTGGATTTAATTTAGAATTTGCTATCATCAGCATAGTTTCATGAGGACTCTTTAAAAACGTAACTTCGGGCTTTTAGGAGAAAGTACAAATATTTGTACAAATTTCTATCAATAGAACTTGGATCACAAAAATAAAGTGAAATACAACATCAACAGGTAAGTAAATAAATATGTCAACCTGAAAGAGTTTACGCAAAACTGATAAAAATCTAGTATTAACGAATGCTTTATTAATGTTTTTTCACAAGCATTTCGCTGGTAACGTCATTTAATTAAGCTATTGAAAACTTATCGCATTCTATTTTCTTATTAAAGAGCAGAATACGAGTATACTTCTTAATGGTCGTTTTGCTATAACGACGCAACGACGCGACGCGACATGCTAATAAAATCGCTGCCGGCAAACATTTTTTTACTGGAAACGTTCCCTTATAAAGAAACGTGAGTGAAACAAAAAAAGCACCACGAAAAAAACGCTGCATCGTTATCCTTAATTCTCGCAACATCGCATCTAACGAAAAATCGTTATACGCGTTCGCAACGTAAATCTTTTTCATCTTTGATACAATTTTTAACGTCCCTTTAGCCTTGCGATGCTTCGAGCTCCGCTTTATGCACAACCGGCATTCTCGTTCAATAGAATATTAAAAAAACCCATTAATTATGAGTTTAATAATTCTTCAAAGTAGAGCAGATATCTTCTATGCAATATTTTCAATATTCATAATTGGATTATCGCTGACTACGCTAGCAATAAAGCAATCAACTTGTTTTATTCATGTAATCGTGATGCGACACGGTTTGGTCTACTCATTTGATTTAAAGAAAAATCTGTTCAGAATATCGAGTTCTATAACATGTCCAAAAACCATTAAAATCGATAATGACATGTTACAGCGAAAAGTTAGGTCAGCAATACTATAGCAGGAGTGGAGAAGCTACGGCCATCTAATATTTACTGTGTATTTAATACAAAATAACCTTAATATTATTTGATTAATTAAAGTACACGATAAGTTGATAAGTTGATTATTTGAAAATTATTTACGACAAGCAATGGTGCTTACGACAAACAATAGAGCAAAAGTACGTGTAACGTTCTATCAGATACTGTTATTAATAGATTATTGATTTAAGACAGATGTATGTAAGTTGTAAAAAACTAATAACATTATAAAGCAATATAGTCTGCTGAAAAATAACTCTATGCCTCTCTTATTTACCAACTCTGTTACTGAATCAATTGTAAGAGCTTTCGAATTTAATGTATTGTAAAAATAACTAAATTCTGCTTAATAAATGAATGGAAACGAAACTTGGCATTTTTATTTCATAACTCTTGACCGAATATTCA